ATGAGAGGGGAAATTTTGGGGTACAACAGCTGCCCCTGTTCAATCTTCTTAAACCTGAAGAGTTAGATTGGCAATGCTCGCCATTCGGGATCTGAAGGTGGAAGAGGATTGAACACTTAAGTGCCCTAAAATTTGCACTCACATGTGCACAAAGTAACATTATTGATTGATTATACTGCTTGAATGGGCTTGAAGATCCCATTCAGAGAGGTGATAGAGTGTCTCTAGAGATGGGCTTATAGATGCCATCCAAAGTAACTGTTGATAAGAGTATCAGAATGAGTCTACACCTGATTGTATCTGAAGAATGCTTTTCAGAAAATCTCTGAAGGAAAATGTTTTTTAAAATGAAGCCTTGAAGGAGATGCTTTTCAGAATTCAGTCTTTGAAGGAGAATTCTTTTCAGAATAAACCTCTGAAGGAGAATTATTTTCAGAACGAAGCCCTGAAGGAGATGCTTTTCAGAATTCAGTCTCTGAACGGAGATGCTTTTCAGAATAAACATCTGAAGGAAGTGCTCGCCAAAATTCAGTCTCTGGGGGGAATGCCTTTCATAATAAACTTTTAAAGGGGAATTATTTTTAGAATAAACATCTTAAGGAGAATTCTTTTCAGAATGAAGCCCTGAAGGAGATGCTTTTCAGAATAAACCTCAGAAGAAGAATGCTTTTTAGAAAAAAGCCCCGAAGGAGAACGCTGTGATACGGTGGCAGAACCGACTGTTATACTGGTTTGCATTTTTTGTTTGCAAATGTCACAGTAAGCAAGAGTCGCCATCGACTTTTCTTTTATCCAACAAAGTAAAGGGTGAAAAGAACAGGAAAATATCATTTTCGAGTTTTTCTGAGTAAGGGGGGTAGATTATGGAAAGGGAAGGTGTTATCACCCTTTCCATTCGTGGTTTTCCATGGTCTCTTAGGTACTTACTCATTTTTTAAAACTGTTTGTGTTTGTATGTTTTGAAAGATTTTATCGGCTTTATGGTAACTCTCATATCAGTCCTCGAGAGTGTGATAAAGCATTTTTGAAAATAGTTTTTGAGAGTGTGTAAGTGTGAAAATTTCAGGTTTGAGCAAGTACGTAACAATTATCTACCTACTCGAAAAAGGGTGTTCTTTTCCTCCTTTCCTTTAGATAGTGCTAGCCTACTATTAGTGAGTAGGTAGTGGTACAACTGGCTGAAAATCATCAAACAATGAAGTCGCCATCGAATATCTTTTATCCCACATGTAGGGAAAGGTAAACATCGAGTAAACTTGAGAAGGGAGAAGTCACGGTCTTGCGACCGAGAGATAAGGGTAAGGGAGTATGTTACACGAGGGGAAGGTATTAGCAACCCACACACCTGTAGTACTCTATGGTATCTAGTCTTGTTATCTATCTTATGGGTGTGTTTAATCTATGCTTACTGTTTACTATACTATTAAAGGGAGAACGCATGCAAAAATAAAGAGAAAAGAATGTAGGGAAAAGAAAAGTTGTGCTCGTTCGGGCCCTACCCCGATGCCTACGTATCCCTTTTAAGGAATCAGAGCATCCGTAGTTCGGCTCATATGTTTTTGTTGGTTTGTATTTTTTAATGAACAATATTAATTTTGCCTTCTGCCACAACTCGACCTTTGGAGACTTACGCGTCAGCACAAAAGTGAATTAACATGCTCTTTTCAAAAAGTTTTGGAGAAAAGGTGCTTGGACCCACAAAAAGGTTTGAATTGGTTTGTGTTTTTTAATGAACAATATTAATTTCGCGTTCTGTCGCAACTCGACCTTTAGAGACTTACACGTCAGCACAAAAGTGAATTAAAATGTTCTTTTGAAAAAGTTTTGAAAGAAAAGCCCATAGGCAAAAGGAGTTTGTGTTGGTTGGTGTTTTTGCTGCAGATAATAGCTAGTTAATCTCAAGAGAGAGATATTAGCCATTTTTCTACTTATTCATGAAATAAGTCTTTGAGACTTGAACCATACCAAAGCTTAGAATAAAAGAACAATAAGGCCGAGAAGAAACCCACTTATCATCTCTCATACTTAACAAAGATATGATTCTCGTCTGTGAATTTTTTAAGTATTTTTGAAGTTTGTAAGAAAAAGAAGTTTTTGTTTTAATGCATATGCAAAAAGGGGAAAGAAAAGTCAAGGGGAGACTAGGATATTTCTAAACCTAATGTTATCATACTATGGTAGTCCTAAGTTCAGGATGAATGGAAGGGAAATATCTACCTAACATTAGCATGCGTGGTTTACAACCTAAGGTCTAACTTGCGTCCGAACGGAGCAAGCGCATCCTAAGGGAACATGGTATGTACAAGGACGGAGCAAACAAGCTAATAAGCTCAAGAGCACACTTGGAGAGATCCTACCTAGGTTAGAATGATAAAGAAGGTCTAACAAAACTATCCTATAGGGAACATGCAATGAGAGAGAAGTCGTGATCTCAATTTCTAAATTGAGTGACTCATCGATCAACAAGAAATAAAGGGAAGAGATAAAATCCTACAGGGAGCATGTACTGAGAGCGAAGTCGTGATATCAATTTCTAAATTAAGTGACTCATAAATTAACAAGAAAGTAAACAAACACAAGCACAACACATATAGCAAATGAAGTGTGAAATGCCTGCTACAGGTCTTTAAATAACAACTTCGAGCGCACGCTCTTTATTCCCTACTTCTCATGGTATCTAGAAAAGTAATAAAGAAGTATGATAGAATGCGGAAATGAGGAATAAAATAAAGTGGAGATGATACCGAACAGAGAAGGTCCGTTGCCTCTTCATAATCACACAAGCAATAAGAAAACTCTACAGGAGTTCGATCATATAACAACTTGTTATATTACATGATTGAAAGCACATAAAATTTACCTAACGGAGAAGGTTCGTTGCCTCTTCAAAGCCACGCAAGCGGTAAGAAAACTCTACCGAAATCCTCCTTGAATTTCCTTGATGAAGATTGTAGTCTAAAGTTACTCCAAAATCTCTTGAAACTCTTCAATACAATTATCCCACACTCATACCAACAAGCGTAATAGATCAAGAACTATTATCTTACACAAGCAGCATTAATGAATCCATCTCAGAGTTTGCAACCCAAATGAACATTCAATGAAATTAGGACTTGATTTCAACCATTTAAATAGTTTTTTATGATCCCAAATAGAAGTAAACACTTAATCAAACTCCTAAGGTTCAATACTTGTTATTAAATCAGTCACCATGTCAAAATTTGGATTAAAACAAGGAGAGATCAACAGGAACATAAAGCAACTCTAAATTTCATCATACTTACATCTTTATTCAAATAATTCCAAAATGAATTAAAAAATAAGAAAAATATCATCAAGTCAGGGACTAATATGCTAACATACACACAAAACTTTAGCAAAAAATTATGGAAGAAACTCAAGAAATTAATTGCACAAAATTGTAAGAGCAAAATGAAAATAAATAAGAACAGGGAGGTGTACGAATCCGAAATGGTGTGAATAGAGGTCCAAGGATCACCAACCCAAACCAATCAACCCAATCCAGCCTTTTTGCATTTTTTATTGTTTTGTTTTCTGAATAAGAAGAAATGAGATAATAGATGAATACATAAAAAACGCAGCGTTTGGATAGCATAGGTTGTGAGGTTATGTGACAGTTCAACTCTATAAACTCGTTCTTCCTCATCTCTTCACGGTGCCTTCTTCCCTTTCTTCTCTCTTCAACGGTTTCCTTATTGCCATTCACGGCCTCATTTATCGTATGCCCTCATCGTTCTCCCCTTTCCAAATCTGAAACTTGTTTTCTCCAATTCCTCGCCAAACCCTTCTAATATAAACTCACAGTAAACACCCTAAAAAACCTTGGAACCAAAATAAAGTTGTGATGATGAACACACTCAAACCGGAGACATGGGGAAAATACATAGGGAGTCGAAAGCCATGTTTTATTGTCAAGAAAGTTGGTAGAATCGTGAGAGAAGAGACGATTTTCTGGCAAAAACAGTGACGGTGACGACGAGTCTCTCGGTGACGATTTAAGCTTAGATTGCTAGGTATCTCCATTTCCGTTTCTTGCCTCTTCTTCTTATGATTCAAATTTCTTGTTCACACTGTGAGATTTGATGGTGATTACCGATAGTGTCAGGACTGTCGAAGGTTGAGGAAGAAAAGGTCGTCGTAAAGAGTGTGTATGATGCTACAGATTGGATTGAAGATTGAAGTATGAGATGATGAAGGTTTCAGTAGGTGATAGATGAAGATGCATGAAGAACCTTGCAGATTCAGAGTTGAAGATATTTCCTGGTGAATTTGTGAGAATGAATCGTTTTTGGTGGAATGTTTCATCCTCCCTCCCTCTATGAATCTTCTTGGTTTTTTTCTCCGTGAAATTAATCCCTGAGATTTTTCCTCTATTTGTGTGGTATGTTGTGAAGAATTTGTGATGCGATCTTTTGTTGATGCAGAATGAAGGTGCAATTATCTGGAGATCACATGTTAAAGCAGGTTGAAGACTTGAGTTGATGATGATGATGATGATGATGATGAAGTAGTGGTTCAGAAAGTGCATAGAGAAACTTCTAGTAATTCTTCTGTTGATGATGAAGATGGAAGAGAGTGAGTTAGTGCAGAGGATTGAGATGAAAGTTTCAGAGAGAGATCCTTTTTTCTATGGTATTGCGATTCTTTTTAATGAAGTGAAGGATCCATGAATCCAGGTAAGCTTACCTTTTTATATTTTTGTTAGTGTTGTTAGAAGTTAGTTAGGGGCGATGGTTAGTTATGCTTATAAGTTATAGGTAGTTAGGGAAGTTGGTTAAAGGATAGTTTTTGAGAGTTAGTTATAGATTGTTTGGGAATTCTGTTCAGGTGGTCGGATTCTGTTATGAGTTGTTAGAGGTTAGAGAGCTGAAATTCTGTTAGGTTGTTGTAATTTATGTTTAGAAACAGTTAGGGAATGGTTACTGGAAGTTAGTTAGAAATTATGGACAAGGCTGTTAGTTGCTTTTCCTGTTAGTTGTTTATTGAGAATTGGTTAGAAGATGAGAGTTGGTTATAGGTAGTTGGGAATTGGTTAGGAAATTCGTGAAAGTTCTATTATGTTTTTTTGTAAGTTTTTCATACTGGTTTCTGTTTCCTTGTTTAAGAGGATTGCTAATAATTAGTTCTCCATTTTCACCAATAAACTCAACTGTTGTATGCTTCTGACTTTGCCCAGAAAGAAATGGTCTAATTTGAAAATATACCCTGATATTTCCTTTCAAATCTTGAACTTCATTATATAGTTTCCTATTTTCTGTTAGAAGAACATGATAATCATCAGCAGCCTCGGCTAGACCTTTGATCTTGATTCCAAAGTACTTGTATTCCTCTGAGTAGCGTCTTTTTGCTTTTATCATTTCATCTTTGACAGATTTTATGACAACTTTAGATTCAGAAGCTTGCAATTCTAACTGCAAAACATGTTCTTCATGTGATATTTTTGCCATATCCAAATCTTCTTTCAATGCAACATTTTCAATATCATTGTGAACTTTATCTTTCTTTAATTGGGAAAAATCCTGCTCTTCGAGTTTCTTCTTTTCTAAACTGGTTTTGTTTGCAAGCTACCAAACTATTTTTCTGATTGAACTTATGGACTGTTTATGTTTTGTAAAGTGCAGGGTTGGAAAACTTGGAGCCGGGACATGAAACCTATCGCATAAGCAATTTTGTACATGGTTGAATCAATGTTTGCCAAAGAGTTTGGAGGTTACAAAAATGGCATCATGAAGTCATAACATGGAAAATAATGGAGCTAATGTTTAGGCAGGATAGATTTAGTGTAGCTTTGTGTAACTTACAATTTTTTTGTAGTTCCTTTGGAATGTAATATGGATTTGTAAATTCAAAATGAATCGCTTGGAAACATTTGCATGATGCCTAGAAATAATGGTTGGACAAGCATGAATTTTCAAGTGGACATTGAACGATGAATATTGAGATGTTGAATTTGAATGACGTAAATGAAGGTTTGGAATGTATTTGGATTAATTTTGAACGGTATTTGAATGATACTGAAAGTGACAACTTGAACCAAAATAATCACTTGAATGGAATTATAATGAATGACTATACCTTGCCATTTGTATCTTATTTGTTGCATTCCAAGAAACCCTTATGACTAAGGTCTCTAAACTCGCCTGAATCAAATTCTTAAAAACAAACCAACGCTTAGATTTCTTTAATACCATTTGATTATCCTCTAAACACTTCACTTCATGACTCATTGAATGAATTTTAACCAACTTGAATATTCAATGAACCAGTCCTGAACTCAAGATATGACACAGCATTTAATCGAATCAATAATATTCCTGCATGAACTCAGTCAAGAAAAAAAAACTCTCCATATTGACTTTGCCCAAAATCAAAACCTTTATTCATATTCGTCTGACTCAATTAATACTCTCTATCCTCATATTTTGTATTGTGCTTCAACTTTTGGAATTCAAGTCACAAACATGTCCACTTGAAAACGTAAGGCTAAAATCCTTAAGAAATTCCCTTGAAGATGATAATTCTTGACGCACAATATAAGGCTTTATGAGAAAATCCCTTGATAAAACAAACCCTAATCTCATGATCTTCGATGAAAACCCGATTGGAACATAATTACCAAAAACCTGGCTTTAATCACATATAGAAAAATAAACCATGATAACCTCGTGTCTTGATGAAGAAATAAATTCTCAACAACCCAGGTCACAACCCTAATTCCACTGCTCGCTGCCTGAATAAGAAATCAGCCTTTATCGGACACGAACGCCTTAACCACTACGAAACCCTAATATCACACAACCACTGAACTTTGAACCTCAAGCGCTTTATTGAATGCAATGCATGCTATGTTAGTGACCTAATGGAATATATGCAGATGAATGCAAAAGCCTAAGCCAAATAAAAGAAATTAGGAGGGCAAATTTTGGGGTGCAACAGCTGCCCCTATTTAATCCCCTTCAACCTGAATGTGAGATTAGCGTCAGCCTTTCGAACTTTCAAGGTGGAAGAAGATTAAATACTAAAAGAACCCGAAAATTTGCGTTCCGAAGCGAGTCAAGTATTATTATATTTTTGGTTTTCTGTATTTTTCTATTTTCTCTTTTTGCTTTTTTGGTTTAAAGGGGTTATCAGGGATAAATGTATGTTTAACCAGGGTTAGACATACAAAAGAAGAACTTGGTTATCAAGGAACATCCGTTGGGAATTAGTAACAAACACCAAGATATCAAGAACACATGTCTGGGGTTGGTAGCAAACATACGAAAAAGGTATCAAAGATACATATCCGGGGTCGGTAGCGGATACGTATGAAAAAGGTATCAAAGATACATATCCGAGGTCGGTAGCGGATACACGAAAAAGGTATCAAAGATACATATCCGGGGTCGGTAGTGGATACATACGAAAAAGGTATCAAAGATACATATCCGGGGTTGGTAGCGGATACGTCCGAAAGAGGCAGACCGAAGAAAGCTCTTACAAAGATATCAAGAACACATGTCTGGGGTTGGTAACAGACATACGAAAAAGGTATCAAAGATACATATCCGGGGTCGGTAGCGAATACGTATGAAAGAGACAGACCGAAGAAAGCTCTTACAAAGATATCAAGAACACATGTCTGGGGTTGGTAGAAAACATACGAAAAAGGTATCAAAAATACATATCCGGGGTCGGTAGCGGATACATACGAAAGAGATATCAAAGATACATATCCATGGTCAGTAGCGGATACATATGAAAGAGATATCAAAGATAAATATCCGAGGTCGGTAGCGGATACGTACGAAAGAGATATCAAAGATACATATCCGGGGTCGGTAGAGGATACATAATAAGGAAAGAGGCCGGAGGAAAGGACTCTAACCAAGGATATCAAGAAAATATGTCCGGAGGAAAGGACATGTATAAGGAAAGAGGCCGGAGGAAAGGACTCTAACCAAGGATATCAAGAAAATATGTCCGGAGGAAAGGACATATATAAGGAAAGAAGCCAGAGGAAAGGAATCTAACCAAGGATATCAGGAATATACGTCCGGAGGAAAGGGCATATAACCAAGGATATCAAGAAAATATGTCCGGAGGAAAGGACATATATAAGGAAAGAGGCCGGAGGAAAGGACTCTAACCAAGGATATCAGGAATATACATCCGGAGGAAAGGGCGTATAACCAAGGATATCGAAAAAAATATGTCCGGAGGAAAGGACACATATAAGGAAAGAGGCCGGAGGAAAGGACTCTAACCAAGGATATTAGGAATATACGTCCGGAGGAAAAGGCGTATAACCAAGGATATCAAGAATACATGTCTGAGGTCGGTATCAGACACATAATAAGGAAAGAGGCCGGAGGAAAGGACTCTAACCAAGAATATCAGGAATATACGTATGGAGGAAAGGGCGTATAACCAAGGATACCAAGAATACAAATATGTTGATCTTTAAGAGTTACAAATATGCAAGAACTACAACATCCATCAAGCTAAAGGCGGGGTGTAATTCTTCAAGAGTGGCAATTATCTGAATTACCACACACCAAGTATGGATACTCAAATACTTGAGAAGCAAGAAAGGCTACACACCGACTCTTACTCGCACTCTAACGACAAAGATAAACACGGGCAAAATAACCAAAGGCTTGCAAGGGCAAGAGAAAATCACGACTTACTAAGATAATGGGAGATACCAAAGCCCAACTAGTGGTAAGTCAAACAGACTCCGCTGGGGAAACAAAATAGAATCACCCTAGGTTTTTTGTGAAGATAGTTCAAATCTGAATGCATAACAGTCTGGTTACTGCAAGTAAACATAATTGGCTTATACTCATGCATGTTTGAATTTTTATAGCGTAATGCCCCATACAATGGGAATGCTACGCGTTTTAATAGATGCAATGTAATGATGAATGTTTAGTAATGCACTATGAAAACACATCAATAATCGGCTGCTGAGAAGGCAATGAACTTCCGAACAATTATTCTTGCACATTTGATCTTCTGTAGAGAAAAGGCAATTTGTACTTCAATGGGGAACCGAGACTTGGAACCAACAGCCTTTAAATATCGATATCATTGGGGAAGTAACTTCCTGGGAAGAATGCTGCAAACGTAAATTGCAGTTCAGAGAAAATCTTGAATTCTGATCAAACTTCCCACTTCACGGGGAACAAATTCTTTATCCTCTATTGGAAAGAGGAAAAATTTCCTGGGAATGGAAACTTCTGGCATAGAAATTCTTTGACGAAGATAACTTCTGTTGGGGAGTATATAAATTCTTAAATAAAAAGAATTCTACTCAGACCACACTGGGGATAACATTGCTGGGAGGTAGAAGATCCTCACTTGGGGAAGAAACGAACATCCCGGGATAGAAAATCCACTAGGGATATCTCAACAAAATCTTCTACCACTGGTAACAAAAGAGTTATGAATGGGATTCTCCTGTACACCTCATCTGAGAGATAGGACACTTGCTCCATTAGGGAAATAAGAATAGTTCCACTGGGGAAATTGGATCTCATTATACAAAAATCCTCACGTTACCCTTCTTGATTCATTTGTGGGTATGCATCTTATCATACAAGACCAACAGTACTTGCAAAACAGAAATTGGGGCGACATGCCCCTGTTTAGAATGGAAAAACTTACCGAAGAATAAACAATTTGAACTACCAATCACTGGGTAAAAACCATGATGCAAGATTTCAACTTCAACATGTCGACTCCGAGGAGAAATGCCACTAAAAAGGGGACTTTAGAGAAGATGCTGCAAAAATAAATTGCAGTCCGATGAAAAGGAATCATCTTGACTTAAAATAACTCCCAATTTTATGAGGAGAAAGACCATTCTCCTCCTGCAGAGAAATGGGGACGCTTCATTGGGGAGAAAATATCTTAGAAGAGAAACCCCTTGGTAGACGAATCTTTGTCAAGTAGCAACAAGTCTTTTACTAGGAAGCGGCATCCCCCTAGGAAACAATATTTCCATCGCGTCTTGTACGAGTAAACAAACCCCAAATGATCTTTATGTTACTGCTCATATCCTACTGAGGATAACAATCCAAACTTCAACTGGGGATAATAACCTTGACTTAGGACAAAGGATATCAGTAAATGGACCCGAATCTCTGATAAGTCGAAGATAACAATCCTGACTTCTCGGCATGATTTTCAGATTCATAGGTCATTTAGCCTGCGTATGGACTTGATCTGATCAACCACTGAAAAAGAGAGAAATCCCTTGCATAAATTCTTGCCCCAGTCTGTAAGGCTTTTGCAGAAAAATTTCCTTGAGAGGACTTTTTGAAATTTATACTGTTGAAGACAATCAGCCCCAGTGTTATGGACTTTGGAACATGATTTTTAGGTAACCAAAATTGGAGATGACTCCAACTATGCTTGAGTGAATGCCCATACATTCTTAAATTTTGGAAAGATTCTCCTCTGATCAACGCATTCTCAGAGAGATTTGTCAAATATTAGTATAACTGCCCTAGTTTGTCTGCATTTTGAGGGATGAAATCCTGACTTGAATGCCCCAGATTGGCTGAATACCTACTCGAAGGAGTATTCGACACGCTTGCCCCTTGTTGTACCCCAAAATTTGCCCTCCCACATTCTTCAAAGTTTTGCCAAGCATCACCTCAAATGGTTCAAAGTCTACTCAAGGGCTACTCAGTCAACCACTCTCCTAAGGCCAGTCAAATTAGGGTTTTGGTTCTTGCAAGGAAGTTGAGGTTTCCAAGGGCTCAATCAAGTCCCATATGCTCATACACATTGTCAAGCACCTACATGTCAAGTTTCAAGGCTCACAAGGTCAAGTTGCACAGTCAAAAACCCTAATTGCTTCACAGTCAACTGTAGGGGCAAAATGGTCATTTGGTAGTCAAAAGTCAAATTTTTGGTCAACATCTTATTTTGAAGCCACAATCATCATTTGGTCAAGTCTTGCCCATGATTTCACAAGAATGGCTCAAAAATCGTCAAGGTGTCAAAAGTTTCTATTTTTGGACAGTTGAAAAGTCAACTGTAACTTGACCAAGGCATAACTTTTTCATGGTTCATCAGAAAAATCCCATCCAATGCTCATCTTGAAGGGGAATACATTTCCTACAACTCATCTTCACATTCCAAGTCCAAGAAATGCTCTCACAAAAAGTTATCAATTTCAACATTATAGGTCATTTTCAAAAGTCAACAAAAAGGCACTTTAATTCAAAGACCATAACTTGATATTAGTAAATCAAAATGACATGGGACCAAAGACATTGGTTAGAGGACTTCAAGACCTTTCCAAAATGTCCAAGAACATGTTCATAACTTCAAAATTGAGCAAGATATGCATTGGAGAAGTTGGGAAATTTTTGTGAAATGGCCAAAATCATTTATCCTTGAAATTTCATTTTTGACAAAAGGGGCCCACTTTTTCCATTTGAATCAGCTTGACCATGCTTCCCACGTGTCCCACATTTTATTTCAAATTTTAAAATTAATTTTTTTCATTTTTATTTGATTTTATTGGATTTAATTCATTTTAAATCCTTTAAAATCAAATAAAAATCAAGAAGGTTAATTAAGGGGG